GCTTTGGAAACTGGCTGGCTGGCCATAAGACATTGTCTCAGGCGCCGATGCGGCCATTTTGTAAGTCTTCTCCCTCCATTCGCCAGTACTCTAAGTTGAGGCCAAGTTCGCTATACTGGTCTCACCAAAAACCTCAAGGTTGACAATGATATGAAACAGTGAAAGGAAATCCTTAGGCTTTCAGTAATCGACCCAAAGCCAACCATTCTTTTTGTTGAACAGCTCTACCGAAAAGACTATGGGAAGCCGGGGCGTTGAACCATATTGATCTTCACTATCTGGTGCTCCTAACTTGTTTTCCGTGCTGGTAGCATGGTGGGAGGTAGCGTGGTGTTGTGACTTGCTGAACGGTCGTGCAACTCTGTATCGGTCCCTTGGCTTCCTGCTCCGCCCACTATGTTATATCAAAATGGACGTTAGGTTTAGACCGTCCTTTATGGAGACAAAGGAAGCTTATTACAGCAGTATTTATAGGGTAATAAAAGAATGTTCTTCAAGGGCATGCTAGGATTTCCGTGAGGAGACGCAAAGCATTGAGCTAAAGATGCCCGATACAGATTGGCTGGCATTGTCACCAGTCGAGGCATGCCCTCGTTTGGTCCGTGGCGCGCACGTGACCCATCCGTCCAACTGACGTGCTGCTTGATTATTAGGGGTGGATGGCCTCCGAACACGTGGAAGAGTGAATTTTGGTGCTTCCGGGCGGGCGAACATTTTGACAAAGTTTACAGCAACTTGTGTTTCACAATAACTCCACCACTTTGAATTTTGCTTACACTTGCTGACACCCAGCACGTATCAGAAAGATTTGGTACGTCAACTTCTGAAGTTCCACGGGGGTCTTGACGACTACAGGCCTGCGCCTCATATCTCAGTTAACAGGGACTTGAATAAACGTGAGGTTTGTTAGGCCTTCTAAGTGGAATTCAGTAGTTCGGGCTATTGCGTGGCATTTGCACATACACAAGGATGGACGAGATTACATGAAACAGCTGTTGACTACTACTTTGTAGATTCACATCCACGGATTTCTTTAACATCTGCACCGACTGAAGTAGGAGTTCTCATTGCAATCCTTGGTTTCATAATCTTTCCTTAAAGTGTCCATAAACGACTCCCCTAAGGAACCCCCAACCGGGTTCTAGGCTGGCCGTTGGCGGTTTGTAACAAACTTTCAACGCGTCGCTTATGGGAAGTTCCATGCTGTAATGGAATGTCTGTTTGTTTCCAACTGCGGAGCCGGGACGATCCAGTTGTCGGTAGGGTTATCTGAGATTCTACTTGTGCGTGAATTTCTTACTTATTGAGAATAAACCGGACGGTAGTCTACCTCTCCGATCAGCAAACCTAGCAGAATGTTCCCTTGCCGGGAATTTATTTAAAACTCGCCTGCCTGCCTTAGCCTTTTCATGAGCAATAATCATTGTCCGAAAGAAAACTTGATCGGATCGGCACATTCCTTCCTGTGCCATCCATCGTTAGACAGCACGAGGATCACTCGTTCGGATTAGGAATACAGACCCTGACTTGTTCCCGGAATTTTTCTGGACTGATGTCCTAGATGATGCCGCATTTTTTCGGTATGTTGTTCATCCTGACAGCATCACTGGAACTATAATATAGTATATGTATATATACATATATATAGTATAGTATAATTTCGGACAAGAGGCTTCAGGGATGAAGGATGCAATGGACAATACAGCATATTAGTATCACGCCAAACATAGAATTACGTCAGGAACTTTTTGCGTTGACTGTCTGAGTAGTTGTCATGGGCTTGTCACCTTGGTCACAGTGGGAAGTGACGAGCTGTAACAAGAACGCGGGAGGTGTCAACTGTCAACCCGTTTGTGTACAGAAAAGCTGGTATATAATTCGAGGTATCCACTCCAAAATATAATGTATTTGTAGGTCTCCCAGAAACTACTCTTGGTGATGAATTATGAGATCGTCAGATTCGGACAATTTTGGTGAGTGCTGGCTCGAATCCGATGATCAGGTGAACTGGATGCCTGCGCTTCCTCCGAAAGTGACGAGATACTACTAAAGATTGGACTTTCAGATTTATGGTTGGCCAAATTTGGTTCAGCCGCAGTAAAGATTCATTATCTTATTACAATGCATGCATCCCAAGAGGATCTTGGCGTTTGATTAGTTCCCCTGAAACCTCAGAGAGCAGAAGACCCGATGAGTGGCTCACATACCACAATGTAGTATGTAACATGACAGGATCGATGACCTTCGTTTATACAAACACTTCCACATGCAGTTTGCTCTTTGGTAAGTTTTTGGGCCTTCTTGAGCAGTTGTACACGGGTGTCTCTTCAGTTTCATTTCTTTGCTCTCCACAAATAATGGGCTCTGTCACACCAAGGAAAGAAGTAACAACAAAGAACTCAAGTGGACTGCAAAAGATCAATTTTTTAATGGTTTACGTTCTAGCTTACTGCCAGTTAAAGGTGTACGGCTTTTGCTACGGAGTCATTTTTTAAAAAAAACGCCAACTGGGCAGTTACAGACTATTGGACAGGACAAGGGAGCAAAACCTTCATCTGCATCTTGTTTAAAAAACTGAATATCCATCTTCCCTTGAACGCCATCTTCTCCTTGAACGCGTCTTCCTGAACCTTCCTGGATATTAATTGGCTGTTGCTCAAATCCAAGCAAATGCTACAAAGAGACCCCACAAATTCCGCAATGGATCTCCCTTTTCGAGAGACGCAAAGCGAATTTTCAAGCAGAAAACATACTACTCGCATGCCTTCCTAATCAGTAGTATCACCGTTACACCAGTATAGAGTTTAATAAAGACAGATTTTCGGGAAAATTTAATAATTTCCATCTTATAAAGGAAACTAGTCACAAGGTTGCTGAAAACTCTTCGATAGCCCACGACCGGTTTCGCCCTTCTTGGGGCTCATCAGGTAGGCGCGATCCCCGAGTTTCCGTCAACCTTATGATCCACTTGAACCCAAATTGCACTGTTTTCGAGAAATACACCCATTTGCAAATCAGTTTGGTTTTCATGAGAGACTCAACTGAATCTCTCGTTTATGATATTCTTTAACTGAATTTGCTTCACACGGGCCGCCTTATGATTCAGTTGGCACGATATTCGAGATGAGTGTATTTCTCGAAAATTTGCATCTTAATTTTTTTAAAACATTACTCTGCATTGTACGTTTCTGGTAGAAATCCAATCGGACGTATTGAACGGACAAGATGTTAAGTGTGAATTTCTCTCAATGTTGTGTTTACCTTCCACTGAATTTTCTCTTTTTTGATTGCAGAGGAAAAAAGAGAGTTTTGCTTATAATGCCGGTAAGTTGAAATCAACATCCGTATTCTTGTGAAAATGTAAGCAAATATTTTCATTCTGGTTCTGAGCGCCTCAGTGGTTGGAACCGGAGAAGGAACAATTTCTTGGCTTTTCAAATCCAATTGATGTGTAAAAATGAACTATTTTCATACAGCCATTTAAGACATGCTGACAGACATACATCTTGATTGATTTCTTCGTTATTCAGCGCGGAAAGGAGGTTACAGGCTTGCAGCTTGGATTTTGAATTCCACTATCTTGTTAGTGTAACGGCTTGGATGAGAACTTCTTTGAACGTGAGTTCGTTAACAACCGATTGCGTCTGTACCTAGGCTTTAGTTCTCAACGATACCGCACCCGAATCTTTTCGTTCTTCCGGGGATCCTTGTCACTAGCACTGTTTACAATAACCGGGAAGATTTTGCGGCCTGAGGACGTCAAATTCTGTTGACTTCCCTGCGGAAAAGGTTTATCCCCTCAAAATGGATTCTGGCAAAGCGTTTGAGGTCGAAAAATGAGAAAAAATAGGTTGGATCAGGATCTGACGAGTACAACACTAGATAGCGAGTGCACAAGAGACTCCCCAACTAAGTCAAACGTATTAAGTTAATATTGGTATTACTTTTTTTACCTTGTCCAACTCAGTGGACCTAAAACAATGGAGTGTCAAGCATCAATGTGTCGTATTTCTTGACCACACCTAGGTGGCAGTGGAAACGTCCGAGAGACAGAATGGGTAGTTGACTCTCTCCGGAAAGAATGAATGAATGAATGAATGAATGTTTTTCATACCGTCATTTGCTATCCACAACATCCATACGGTTGGATAAGGCCAACAGTTTCACAATTCGCCTTCTCATTGTGGGAATTCACTTGGGGCAGTCAGCACAGCTGTGAGTTGTGGTCTATTCCATAATTGCTCTGATCGATCAGTAATCAGACTAATCCGGGGTCAATCGATCGTCACAACCAGGACAGTTACTGGGTCGTCGTTCGATGAATCGGGCACACCAAGCGCATCGCTCAAGTGTGAACACGTTCGCCTGCTCAGATGTGAAAATTCAGATGCGTCCAACGTGCGTCGGTAGAATAGTGGTTACACGCTCGCCTCGCATGTCAGATGTCCGGGGTTCAAATCCTGGTACAGCTGCACTGCTGATGAACTCTAGTAAGAGCGAAACTCGAGTCCAGTGCTTCCCTTTGATGTGGACTCACCAGAACAATTGCGCCAGAACAGGAACGCGGCTGTTCAAATGAGAGTGGTGTGACTATGAACAAAGTACCTATCCCTCAAAACCCCAAAATTGCAATCAGACTAATCATATTCAGAGTAACCCAGATCGTCTCGTGCATGCGTTTCATCAGTTTCTGCCAATAAAGCATTCCGAGTAACAGACTGACTGCTGATGTATCAAAAAGATGGTCCTCATCTTGGGGAACTTTATGCAATGTTGAGATTGAGGCTTCTATAAAGATGATAATGGGCAACGTTGTGATTTGCTGTCTAGGTGTTGAGTGCCTGTTACGAAACGAGCCCTTACGTGTTAAGAAGTTTCCTGTCATTTCATTGGCTATGCTCCACCAACCAACCTGTCCAAATTAATTACTATTCTTCTATTCCATTGTTCATTTGTTTACCTAGTCATCGGTTACTTCGTCAATCTCATCTGCATATAGCACTGCTCGTATCCAGGCTAATCCCTGGTTATTTTCACCCTTGGTAGAAAACATCGATCGATATTGCGGCCTCCGCGAGGACGATCGCCAATGGTCAAGCCAGTTTGAGACCGAAACAAACGTTCTTCATATCAGCAAGCGCATCGTAGGTGGCATAAAATCAAAGCTCGGAGAATGGCCGTGGCTTGTCTCTCTGATGTTTTATGAGACAGCAGAAGAGATCAAAAGTAATCTCGTTGGAAAACATGGAAACGGATCGATATTTATACCACCCACCATCATAACGTACTATCCAAGTGGATCAAGACGATATCACATATGCGGTGGGACGTTGATTCATCCGCAGTGGGTTTTGACGGCAGCCCACTGCTTCTTGTAAGTTTAAGTTATTACAGTGAATCAAGACGTGGGTAATCAATGACGTTCAATGTACCTCCCTGTCTCTCTCACGTTTCGCCATTCACTGTACCGAACAGGGGGAAATAGTACTCAGGCTATTAAAGAACATGATCTTACAACGAAAATCGATAAGCCATAATTTAAATGCGATGTGGCAAGATGCGTGTAATCTTTGTCTCCTCGGATCTGATCCAGGCGCTCTTGCGGAATGTTTCACCTGAAACTTTTAATGCAATGTCATAGTGTTCATTTCAGAGCGTCCGGAAAGTGGGAGATTCAGGTCTTTGTGATCCTCCAATCGATTTGAAGAACGCTACAAGAATAATGGCTTTTCTGAAAAGGAAAACGATGTCTTGAGTGTCTTTCACGACAAAATATGTAGATTAGGATGGCGGAAATAACAGAAGGCACGCAACTCTGTGTTTATTTGAGTTTCAAACGAGGAGAGTGACTCAAAAAGTCACGACAGACTCTGAGGAACTCATTGGTCCTGCCCAGCACAGAGTCATCCTCAGTAAACTCTCTAACAAGAAGCTCCCGGCCAGACAAATTGATGTTCATTGTGGCACTAATGAACATACAGAGGCTGCGTCCCACAAGTTTTTCAATTACTGTTTTCGAAATTTCTGACGCTCAATCTGTTAGTGTGTCCCATTAGCGAAAATTAAGGCTGTCATTTAGCCATTCCAGAGCTTTACATGGGACGGAATGCACGTCCCATTGTTTTTATTGATTGCTTCCCAAGAATTTCCAAAAATGAGTGGCAGTTTTTATCTTACCGTCCAAGCGTAGGCACCAAAGTCGTGAAGACAGATCATTTATGTTTGGTTACGTAAAACGGGAGCCGAAGAGGGGGGCCTCAGTTTAGCTTCTTCTGTGTAGAGTGACACGCATTACATCTTGAAGTATCTGACCAACCCATGAGAGCTTTCAGTCCACTAGCAGTTATGTTATATCTTTGTAGCTTTCCTCAGAAGTTGGGAAATACAATTCAAGGTAATCAACAGGGAGTCTACAGCGATTCTACACTGGTGCTTCAGCAGTTTTGCTACTTTACGTGTTCTCTGGACTCATCGGCTGAGCTCTGATCCATTTTACCCTCAGCGAAACTGATTTCGAGAGCGACTGCCATTAAGTACCAAGACTAGACGGCAGAACTGAGTAGTTCAGTGAGAGAAGGCAGCTGATATGACTGGCCTATCAAATATTCGAGGCTGGTGTATGTACAGATATAGGAACTCTTGGGCTCGCCAGACCGGAGACTTACGCTGAATTCATGGAATGCTAATGTACAGACAGTTACCTTCATACGGAAATCGTTGGTCGCAGTATAAACCGGATACTCAAAAAAAAACCATAAGCGTTGAATGGAGGTTTTCATTTCAAATGTCTTCAAGCAACTACTGAAAACGCTTTCAGTAAGATGATACCTCAAGCCAATTTTATCTCCAATTTTTGAAGTGTATTCCAGTTCATTCAAGAATATTTTCAAAACGTTTGGGTTTCATCTACCACGATATCTTAAGATATCCTTCCATTACCTGGTTCCGAATACCGGTGAACAACGCTCGTGGGTTCTCAGCTTTTGGCAGAATGAATGTATTGTGTTCCACGAGCACCAAGCTAGTAACTTCTAGGGCTCTTTACACCACACTAATGCGGTATCGAGGCAGGTGCGGGCAGACTAGGAATGGTTCGCTTAAATTGCCGGTCTCAACACAGGAGAAAGCCGCTAAACATTACCGTCTCAATCTACGTTGTATTCTCGAAACTGTAAAATGACGTAAAGTACCAAAACAAAATGTAAGATGGTGCACTCACTTTTCAAGTCGTTCCTTCTAAAAATTACCATAGGAAAACGTTTGTAAGGAATATTTCTCAGGCACTGTGAATCGCTTCCACTAAACACGTGTAATTTGTGGCTCATTGACTCACCTCTTCAACTTCTTTCTCGCACTTCACGTCTCCTTCTTCTTCCTCTTCCTCCCCAGGTTTCTGGCGAAGGTAACAACACCGCGTAATATCTCAAATTACAGACTAATACAGCGCCATGAAGTTTTTGCAATGGGCCAAACAAACAAATATAGGACCACTCTGTGATTTCATCAGTTTCATTAATCCAGGTTGATCTGTTAGCCGAAACCCAGGGATACGTCTACACACCCACTGGTGCTTTGTCCGCTATCTTTGGATAAATATATGGATCATTTAAACATCATCATTTAAACATGTTTACAGAAATCTGCTGCTTTCCAAAAGGTCTTAATCTAATCGAGTACGAGTATTCAGCTCACCTTTGACGGCCTTTGTTGCATCAAACAGAACCCGATTATTTGTAGCCCCAGCAGAATTCCTCCACAAAGTAGAAAGCACTTTGGTACGCGGTCCAGGAGATTATCTTCCACAAAGGTGCTTTAACAATAACATAAATGATCACGTATTTTTTCATGTGTTCCGGAAAGTTAGTCAACCATAAAACCAAATAAAAGATACGACGAATGTATTCCAGATCACGAGTTAACAGTGCAAAAGTGAATTAGTTTCATGCAAGGTGATGCTATAGGCGACGAAGCAGGTCCTACGCAAACTAATCTATAGAACATATCCAGACATTGTCTTTCTAGGAGTTGCAAATCCACGAACTTATACAAAAATATGACATATAAAGTTTATTTTAAAAGGCACATCGCGACGAGGGTGGGTGTTTCATTCGGCTTAGCCTGTGTGGAAAGACTAGAAAGAATGGGAACATTTACATCACAGTTGTAACTCAAGGGTATGTTCGAAAAGTTTGATGGCGTCAGTAATGCGTTCGAAGACATAAAGCGGTGGTTACGGATTGCAAAATCGCCTGGGAAGATTCGAGCACATATATGTGCTGGCCTGCAATACAGTCGTACGACATTCTGCAAAAACAAGTTCGAAGTGGTCTGAGGCAAGTTTTCCTCAAAATAGCTTTTGTTATCTGGCCAATTGCTACTGGAAGACACATGTCAGCGTTGATCACGGGCCACTTCGTCTTCAAAAGTTCCCCCCTTCTTCGAGCGAAATAGAAAAAACATCTGGAACAGAGTTATTCTCACGTGCAAAGATAAGACGCTTGCGTTTTCAAAATCAACCGGTCTAAGATAATATCTCACGACAAAAATTTGTTTGGGAAATCTGCTTCGCGACTTTGCAGGGGAGTACATGTAGGTTTAAGTTAAAAGCATTTGATTGAATCCTTCTATGGCGTAGCGTTGTTACCGACTTTGTTGCCGAATTTAGTAGGTACTTTTAACCTATGTAATACCGTATTCATTCAGCTGCTATATCGCTGAGGGAACAGTGTTTTGTTTCTGCTCCTGTGTAACCTTGCAGTGTTTGTTTCGTATGACTTTGTTTGTGTAGTTTCGTGCTTAAGAATGAAGCATGATGAAAATGTAAGCTATTTGCAATGCGAATGATGATTATTGCTTAACAGCAGCAACTAATCCATCATGAGTTGCGAAGTGGAAAGGACCGTGCGCATTATGACTGTCAGTTTGGAAGTAAACGCAGAACAAACAAAATAATTATCACTAACAGATCTGAACCAAACGCCAAATGAAACCTTCGTTAAGAAGAAAGCTTGAAGAATGGGCCGAGTCTTCCAAGTCTGACTAAGTTGGACCACCTGAACCCTCGTAGAAATGGAGGATGTTTCTCACCATATTACGACACTCAAAATTCGCAATCTCTGGCGATCTATCGAGCTGTGTGTTTATTTTGTGTACCATAACTGGTAACTATAACTGTAACTCCACCTCTGGTGGAGTAGTGGTTACACACTCGTCTCGCACGTCAGAGGCCTGACGTTCAAATACCGGCACGGCCTTTGGGTATGCATTGCTGTTGGGCTCTAATGAGAGCGAAACTTGAGTCCTTCCCCTTCCCTTGATGTGGACTAACTGGAATAATTACGTCAGAACAGGAATACGACCGTTCAAACGAGAGTGCTGTGGCAATGAACAATGAACAGCTATACGACCGTTCAAACGAGAGTGCTGTGGCAATGAACATATAAATGAACAGCTTTGCGCTAAAGGTCTTGTAATTTTCCAGGCTAGTGATACTATTTTACGATCCAAGGTTAATGCTCTCCCCTCCCAGCCACCAGAACATTGAACCTCTCTGTCGACTCCGAGGTTTATACTGGTTGATTTTTGAGTTTCCTCATAACTACTCAGAACCCTAAAAGATCCACATGTCCGTAGATCTGAAAAAAGATGACCAGTTCGTCTACTTATAAGCGGCTTAAGTATTTCTTTCTCACCGCAAAAAATACTTACTTGGATTCAAAATTTATCGACGCACCAAAAACTGTTATTTGTGGATGTTAAACTGTCGTGAGTGTCATGTGAGTATTGAGAGGCTCAGTACAAATTTACGAGGAAGAAACAAGATATCTTCTCAGAAACGAAGTATTACAGGGAACCGAGTTCCTCATCCTATTCATCTAACAAGTTTTCATAATCTATTAAAGATTCACGTGATTAGACGCTTTCAGAGGGCATTCAACTAACTCATTTTATACTTCAAATAACCAAAATGTTAGTCCGTTTTAAACAAAAAATGTCGTCCACAGGATGCGATACAGTGTTGTCAACAGCAGATTCTGCAAATGCTGGAAGAGATCGTGTCCCTCTAGGAACGAATACTGAATAAACTACCCAGCTTGACCAAAGCAGTTGGGAATAAAATAGAAAATTTTCTTCGGGAGATGAGAGGGAGGCTGGCCGAGTGGATGATATAGTGAAATACCATAGAAGGAAGCAATAACGCACTGATGATGTCACCTCGATTGGTGATGAAACGTTTGCAATCAAATTGCCCAGCTCAGCGAACAAGCCAACGACCACCATCTACGATACCTGAACATCCATCTACTCCTTGAACGCGTCTTCCCAAACTTTCTTGAATACTCATTGACTGTTGCTCAAATCCAGGCAAATGCGACTCCACAAATTCCGTAGTAGATATCACTTTTGAATGGACGCGAAGCGGGTTTACGAGGAACATACTACTCACATGCATCATTGGTAGTATCCACCGTTACACCACCTCTGCGTCCAGGTTTCGAATCCCACACGAGTACTATATGACCGGCTTCCAACCACTTTGACCCTTGTTTCCGGAATGAAAACGTAGCTGAGGAAGCCCAGTTGTCTTCAATTTGGTATTCTGCGTCCAATGAGTTATGATATGTGATATCTTACAAAATATGCGGATATCGCTCGCGCGTTATATCTCAAATAGCAGCTGGAAAAAATGCTGGACTAAGAAACAATCACAACGAACGCACTGCTTTGAAAATTTCCGCACACAAAAAACTGACTTATAAACTCTTACAGATGGGAAGTTGCTGACAGAAAAAGTAAGCACTCAGAATGAACCGATCGGTTCAATCTGATGACCGGTTACTAGGCGGAGCGGGATATCGTACTTCACGGTTTCTCGGTCTGACCGCCAACTCCAAAGGCAGTTGTGTTTTCGGGCACGAAACTTGAGAGGCGCCAATCTACTCTGGTGATAGATGTACTTCTCCCAGTAATTGAAAACAGACTGGTTAAACCAAGAGGTTTTGACCAAAGTAATAGTTGTGGAGGGAACACTGCTTTTGTCGAGATGCCTCTGTGCAGAGGTCTTGACATCCTAATTTAACCGTTATGACGTAAGTGAGGAGCGGAAAGGCGAAGAAAAACTCTGCAGCCGTTTCAAACTCGTTTTACTTCTGGCGACTCCAAACAATGAATGGACAGCTGTGAAGCGCCTTGCAGCTTCTAGGCATTGATTCACCTTACTTGAGGGCACACATCTCGGTCAAACTTTCTCCTGGGTGTCTGAATTTGATGCAGTGTGTAACAAAACACGCTAGTCGCAATTCCGCTCCACCATCTCAAATACCATGCTAGCTGACACCTGAAGCGATCTTTGTGTAGCATAGAATTCAACCAGAAGAGGAATGAAACTCTCTAGAACACCACTGTAAGTTGCAGCGTGCGTATACCTCAAAAGTTTCTTTCGACTCTGTCCAACGCTGAACTTCAAAGTGGGTACGTATCTCTCCTTTTCGCCGAATTGTGACGTAGCAACCCGGAAACGATAACATTGTGCACACCGAGTTCGAGATATTCAATGGTGTACTGTGTAAAGCCAAGAAGTTATTTATTGGGAAACACCAAATAAACAGTTACATACTACTGGACAGGAAAGTAGACGTTTCATATGCATCCTGTTTTTAAAAACTGAACTTTCGTGGATATTCGTTGAGATCACGCACTTGTAAATGAACGCTGCAGAGCGATTCCACAAGTTCCGTAGTAAACTCCACCTTCCATTAGACACGAGGCGGAGTTACAAGAAAATCACATACTACTCATGTGCTTCATCAGTAGTATCCGCCGTTAAATTAGTAGTTCACATAGTTTCTTAGAAACGTTCTTCCGAACGTCTAACTCTGCGCGGTAGGGTCCGCTATTGGATATAAAGCTCGTACACACACCACCATTTTCTTATACAATCGACCAAAACGTGCTAAGTTTCATCGCCACCCAACCCATAAGTATACACAACTAGAACCAGACTCTCATTGCCTCGACTCTCATTGTCAACACAGAAGTTTTTCGCGATCCAAACCGCAGTTCACTATCATATTCCGAACCGCATAATTACTGAACAGCAAAACGGTATATGGAAGGAAAAACGGCAATTGTTGATCACCAAAGATAACCTATGCAGATTTCAAAATGTCCAAAGAGACTAGAGCTCGTCTCGTGTTTGTTCTACCGCTTATTCACGATTAGTATTGTGGGAATTTAGAAGCGCAGAGTCGGCTAAAATTTTCCCCGTTAAACTGTCTTCTTTTGTGCACTTGGAGATTTTTTTCATCATTATACTATCCTGAAACAAACATACTCAACCAAGATAAGGAATAAAATTTTAAGTAATCCATTTTTCATCCTTGGGTTGCTCAGTTGGACATTTTGTGGCGTGAATCACACGCAGATTACTTCTTTGTGGAAACTTGATCACTGACGAACAGTACTGCTTAATTTATCCATGCTCCAATTTATACATCCCTCCATCACTTCGATCGTCCTGGATAATACGGTGAAAATTGAATTAATCCCACTACGGTCGTTTTTGCCGATTGAGCTAAAATTGTTAAAATAACCGAACTACTTAGAGATATTCAGTAGCATGATGATTTGTTTATTTTGCTACAGTCCTGCAGGGGCTCATATCTACCTTTCTCCCGCCCCATATCGATGGCGTGTTCGAGCAGGTGAATATGATATGCTAGACGACCGGACGGACCACGAAGATATCGACGTTGAGGCAGTCTATCCCCATCCGGACTATAACGGTATGCTTATTTACATTGTAATGTGTAACAAGGAATTACTTACGGTAGTACAGCAACTCCTTCTCTAATGCCTTTAAACAACTGCGTATTACACCGCGTACTGCTAGCTCTTTTTGTCCATGTGTCTGTCTACCCCTTCATGATATAGCCAGCTAATAAATTTGGATGGATTCGTTTGGCAGTTCGAAATCAACGTAACGTATAAATACGGATTCACTAAGACGGCAGAGTGTGGGGGGTACACAGAAAGCGAACCCCACTGACCACACCCGGGCTATCAACGGGGTAGTCAAACGTGAGCGATGTGAAACCGATTGGCTTGACTACACCGACAAACCTGTCTTGCTGGAAGAGTAGTACCAAATGCCATCATAGGAGACCTCGCTTGCCGGGCCGAGGCTGTCAGAAATGAGCACGTTTTAAAAACGTACAAAGGTTCAAGGTTGCAGAAGGTTGCTTCGCAAAAGAACAGCGTGCCTCGTGCGGCATAAGACTACAGACTTTCAATCTCGGTTATCTGGGTGTTATTACCGAAATAACCACTACTAGATTAGCCTTGTTAGTGACTGATCAGGCGCTGTTCTATGTGCCCGCCCAATCACAGCAGAGTCCATTACACAATGAAGTTCATAGTTTTGGAAAGGAATCCTCTATGCTCTTCAAAGTGCATATTGGCCACCGGATAGATTTATTGGGACCAGCGAGACTAGTTTCTCAAGTAACAGCAAAAAGTGATGAACAATTTTTCCATCTAAATCGGGAGGAATCTCATTTCAGGACAAATTCTATTGTGCATTAACGACTGACGTTTATTGGTGACTGAATGACCTTCACGAGAATCAGCAGTAGTCAGGAGTAACGGTTTGTAGTGAGTCAAACTTTGTTGGCTAAGCCACGAAATAGCTCTTAGACGCCCACGTAAACTGGTGCCATTCAAGAACAACGGGGCTATCATGTGTTCTTTCCGAAAGGTGCAAAAGTACATTGATGTCGTCATTCTTATTCCAGGTGTTCTCATAAAAAATGTATCCGCATTTACCCTACTGCTGTCAGATTTTCCATCTGTTATCCAACAGCAAAAGAATCATCTAATGACGTCGCCCTGATGAAACTACAAACACCCGTGAAACTTTCCCAATACGTGAACATTGCCTGCTTGCCACGAGTTGACGCGAATTTCCGCAGTGGCGAGCAGTGCGTCGCACCTGGATGGGGACACGCCGAAGCAGGCAAGTGCATGATTTGCAGCGCGGGCGAACAATTTAGTGTCAATAAACTGATTTTGAAATCGCCTCCAACGCGTGGTTCTCATTCTCTTTTGTTGTGGACCACAGTCTCCTTAATGCCTTCTTATTACAGCGAACCCCGGTCTGGATAGCCGGTTGATATCCTGGTGCACTTGGCCAAACCAGAAAAAGTCAACGAACGTGTGAACCGGCTGATCTCTTGATCACTGTCGCTTACAAG